GGCTGGCTGCACCTGTTGTTTCACGCCCAGAACAGGCGGGCTGGAAGGCAGCGCTGCGTGAGCCCGGCAGTACCCGCGGTGCAGGCTGCGGCAGGCAGGCGATGCCGTGTCTAAAGACATCCACGCTGACGCCTCTCACCCCAACGGGCAGGGGCCAGCGGATGGTACCAGTCCTATCTGGTGCTGACTACAGTGCTGCGTAAGGAATCCGGCTACCCATGGGAGGTGTTAGGGATGGCAGTGAGGGAACTGGGGCCTTGATGCCTTCCCATCTTTTTTAATTCCTGCACATCAGCATCTACCCACAAATGCAAATATCCCTCCATCCCACCAGCACAAGGTGGAAATGGATGGTCGCTAACAGGAGGCGGCTGTCAGTGCACCGTGAGACGCCAGCACGGATGGACAGCAAAACAGAGCACGCTGCGGTTGCAAACAGTTGTCTCTTTTATTATTCACACTGCCCCGGCCAGTGTCACTGGAGCTGCTGTGCTGCCAACTCATTACCAGCATGGCTGACGGCATGGATCACGTGCGTGTCGGCAGCTAGAGAAGCCCCAGCCAGTTCAAGACATCCTATTGTTTGAATACGGTTACAAAAGTTGGATAGAAAATAAGAGGATAAACTTTAAATCAAATGGTATTATATTTAGCAAACTGATCATTTATTTTCCTGTGCTACGGATATCTCTGCCCGCTGTCAAAGCAAAGATGTTAAATTTTCACAGTGAATTATGAAATCATATACAAAAAGGAAAAAAAGCAGTGACCTCATGTTGTGTGAAGAGACATGTCTTGGGGGAAACAAAAAAGAAAAACAAAACCAGAGTGAACGCTCAGCTCGTTAAGCAATTCTCCACCTCAGTTTATAAGTGCATCATGGATTCAAATTCATCGATTCGCTGTTTGGTGTTTCCTTTTCTAATCCTCCGGTAGGAGATTGTGTTGTATCTGGAATAGCTGTGTCTGGAGACGTCATTTTTTTTCCCCAGGCTGGGCTGCTCCCCTGGTTTCTCCACCTGGGAGTTGCAGCCAGGGCTGGCCGGGGGAGATGCCTCCTTGCCGCTGCCTTGCTGCTTTGGACAGGACGCCTCACTGTTCTCCTTCTTGATTTCGATCACCTGAACGTCATCCTCTTCAGTGTCTTCCTCCTCCTCCTCCTCCTCCTCCTCCTCGGCTGCATTCCCTCTCCCATCAGTGCTGGCTGCGAGGGTCTCCG